GCGCTTCTCCTCAAAAGGAAATCTTATTTAACAAGCATGAACATAAGCAAATTCTGGTGTAGGAAAAGTCTATATTCTGTCGCGAGACTTCGTGTTCCGAAGGATTTTCTACTTCCTTTCGATTACGAGAACATTTGGAGAAAGTACTGTACCCGTACATGGATTTGCCTGTGAAATTGAGAAGCTGGAATTCAAAACTATGAAGGGTAAGTAAATTGTCTTCTGAAATTTTAAAAATGCTGTATTTAATTAATATATCTTAAAATAACTGTTTTCGTGAATATTAACAGATCATTCAGTAGTAAATAAAAATAATATGTACCGTATTTTACAGATTTTTACGAATGGAATGCCACAGAGAAGTTGAGAGCCAACTGAAGTTAACTGTGTCGTACTGTCTAAAACATCATGGAATTTATAAATTGTACTCGTGCGGCTCTGGCACAGGGGATCGTGACTACTCTATTCAGAAATGTACCTATAGAAAGTGTTCAATGACAAATTGTGTATATAATAATGTTGAAAATGTAAAATTTTGAATAAATCTTTTTTGTCTTAGCTAACATTCAAATAAATCATTGCTGATGTGTTAAATGAGGCTACAAAAAGTTCACTAATATTGTACTGATAATTTGTCGATGGATTTAAACTACCAATTCAAAAGACTTTACTCAAATTACACAAGATACATTTAACTCTTGATATTCGCCAAGGTTAGGTTTTTTAAAAATCTCGTGAAAACCAAGGATGAAAATGGAGAAAATTGAGTTTAGTTTTGTAAAACATTTCAAAGATAAACGTTAATTGTAAAATAAAATATTGCAAATTTTTTTAATATAAAACGTTTAAGTCATTCTAAAAAGCAATGTACATTTTATTAAATCATACAAAAAACACAAAACATTCGAGTAACAGATTGAAAATTCAGCAGGATACGTTTAGGCAATACGTTCTGTCACGTTATTCAGCAACGTCACAACCGACCGTAAATTAGAATTATGCGTTTCGAGCTTCTTGACGTCACGAAGTAGCGACATCTCGTGGTAAAAAAACAAAACTACGGCTACGCAATCGTTCTGTAATTAGCCGCCAGTTTTATAACACTCCCGTGTGCTCCTGCAGGACACACTCGTGCGTGTTTTCAAAATATTATATCGAGACCACGTCTCGTATGTTAAATATCATCGTATAGATAAAAAAAATTCGTCATAGAAATCAATGTAAATTTACAACAATCATCAACTCGATTGACACGTAGCGCGTGATCAATTGATAAACAGAAATCCTACCATAGATTTCACGTGGCATACTTTCACTTCAAATATTTCAACGAATGGCACCACCAAATGTTGAAAGAATAGCTAAGTAACACGTTGCTGGATTTTTGTCTATAAGATACAATTATCATTATTTTTCAACGGGCACATGTGTACAATGGACAAAGATTCGTCAGAAATGTTTTATTTAAATTTCAATAATTCGCGTGTTCAATCAGTGTTTTTCTTTAATTTTCTTTCTTTATTGTTAATTTTTATCATAATAAAACACTATTACAATTGTTATATTTTTAATCTGTCTCCAGAGAAGAAAAAAATGTTTTACATAGAATCGAAATGTAATCGTTTTTTGTAAACTCATTTATGAACACCCATTTTTAACTGAGACAGAAATCTCAGACGATGAAATAAATAAATAGATAATAATAAACAGATTCGATTGAGAGTTACAGAATCTCGGTCACAGACGTATCTGATGAATCAATAGCACTTTATAATAGTTTTTTGAATATTAATGATAAAATTGTGTTTTAAAAACCGAAAGTATTGTATTTAAGTCTGTTCGTAGAAATAACGAGTCGTGATCTAATGAGGATTGTGTAGATGCATTTATACAAAAAGTTGGTGAACTTTTTGTATAAATGTTCTCTCTATTTTGTCGTTTTATTTTGTATGACGTTTCTGTTTACACGTGCACTTGCTACTCAAGCTGTCAAAGTTTTTGCATCCTTTTGTGAAAATTAAAATTTATTAATATATCAAAATGAATGTTATGACGATAATAATAATAATAATAACAAAAGATTGTTAATAATTAAAAAATAAAGTTCTTAAAACAAATTGTTCATTCGAATTCATTAAATCTTTATAATTTTTAATTTGTTCACATAAAGTATTTTATAAACAATAGTAGTCAAGTTCAAAAACACTTCAGAGCCAGTTAAATTTAAAACTTAATGTATATTGAAAATAAACGTATGTACAGTTACAATTAAAGTTCACATATAAGAATTACAAACATTAGATATTAACAAAGTTCAGGTAATCATCCACTGCAACAGGTCCGTCGGAAAAGCACCTTGCGACGTACAAATTCAAAGTCCACAACAATACAACAAGATGAGGCAATCTTCTAAAACAGCTTAGGCGAACTAAGGTCAGCGTGAGTTCACTTCCAATGTCCGAAGCAAAACTGATCTTCCCGCCAGAACTTCAATGCTTTTATAGGATTGAAACAGCATTGGATTCCACCAATCAGCATTTACCAGCTCTATAAGACGTCCGCCTATGGTCTGATGTCTTTTAACCAATGAGCGGTCGAGTCTTCAAAATGGTCTGATCGCCGTTTCTATGGCGACAACGGTCGTTCATAAAAAGGCGGGAAAACTGAGTGCCAGACGATTTTTATCCCGACAATAGTACATATTAATGAACTAATTAATAATTATATATTTTGGACCTAAGGTTTTTAGGGGATTTTTTGTTAAAATCTCTCTATAAAATCACGCCAAATATTACGTAAGATAGGGAAGTGGAGGGGATCAAAGAAAATATTACGGTTTCTTACACAGGGGTTGGTGAGGTCTAGAATGGCCGAATCGCCCTAACGTAATTTATGGACTGCCCCTTAGTGATATTGATTCGAAAGGGGCATCTACGACACGATACACGAAAATACTGGTCAAAGAACAATTTGACAAATGCCAGTCGGACCAGTGACAAAATTAGCTTGTACGGTTAGAAATTTTATACGTAAAAGTACTGTATGTTAAATCTTCCAAGCATTACTTATTAGTTGTTTATTCAAATGTCAACATTTATTAATTCAAATGTAATTGGTGGTAAAAGTTTGTTTATTAACGCAACGCAACATTTCGGAGATGTGCCTAGGGAAGGTGTTTTCCGGGAGGCCATTTAAAGGGATTTAAATGGATTTAAAGGGCCCCTATTTAGGCGTTACAGACGTCTAGAAAACCTAGAAAACTCCACGTGGCCAGCCTGTCCGAGCGAGGCGCGAACCCAGACCGAACTCCCAGTGTTCTGGGTACGAAAACAGCTTGGCGACTGGTGGGCCTAATGGTAAACGAACTGTACTTTACAGTTTGTTTTTTTACCTTCCCTTCACTCAATCTTTTTACGACAATATCAATATCTGACACTACTTAGTAAAACGGGCCGGTAGGGTGGGTGATCAGATTCTAAATCAGGTCATAGTATCAGTCCTCAATTCTCAAAATTCAAACTTTGTTCTTCGTAAATCTAAGTTTGTCAATATGGAATTTAACTCGGCTACGACGACGCTTTTATTAACGATTTTGGAGTCTTCTCTTTATTTCCTCTCTCTTTCTCCTGTAAGTGTCTCCTCTAATTCAATTATTAAAAATATTAATCTAATTTAATTTATACTGCAGAAATAAATGCAAGCTCACAAATACAACTCATGCACGCAATGACTTGCGTAAGTATTTATTACGTAAACGTTCTAAAAGTACAGCTCTTATGCAATCAATACTTATATCTGTGAATAAGCAGCAATCTTTTATTCTAAAGCTACCATTCAGTTGATTTCTACACAGAACTATTGCAATGAATTTTAGTAAAGACGAAGATAATTGCGATTATTTTTAATTCGGTTACTAATTTCATTTTTGTCAAATAATAGCTTACTCTTACTTAAAAATATGAGAAGAATCGTCTCGAGCGCAACCGTTACAGATCTTAATTTAAAAAAGGAAATATGTCTGCCGTGTTTTCTCTCTTCGTTTACTTCGATTTCTATGGTCTACGGTTGGGAATTTTTTACGCCTTGCTCCTGTGTCTTAAACACTAATGTTTATTGGCGTAAAATGTCGAAGCTTTACATCATATTTCTCGAATGCGTTTACTGGATACATTCAATTCTCCTTCTCTGCATGCTAATTCCTTACGTATCGGATGTAACGCCTTGCTTTTCCTGGTACTCGGTATACGAGTATGACATATATGTCAGATTAATCCTTGCGATTATTTTCTTGGCCTTGGCAGTAATATTCCGCATTGTTAAGAAAGTCAAACTAAATTCGAAAATTCAATTGAAAGAGTCATATCGTTTTCCTAAAAATCAATTATATGTTATTATCGATTATGTACGGCTTCTTGCAGTAACTGCGACTATTGTTTTTACGATATCCTTTCAATCCATAATATATTTTCTATTTTATCCTGCTATAGAGAAAGCAAAGTCGTTTAAATATGAACCCCTTTTCTGCTGTATTGAAGTGGGTATCGCGGCTAATGTAATGTTTGGTGGTTTTATATATCTCTATTTCTTTGTTGTTTTGCTTTTACTTACTTTAATGAATGCATTCGAAAATGTATCAGAAGATTTGTATGTACTGAATAAGGGAAATTTGAATTTGCATTCGGAATTGGAACGAATTATGGCACAACACGATGAACTTTGGCGCTTTATCAATCATCTCAACGGACCATTCAATTACGTATTAACAATTCTATACGGCATTATATTATCAGAAACAAGTCTAATGTACTTTGCTGTCACCTCTTCGAAATTGAAATTTGCGTTGAAACTTTTATTTTTTTCACTGTGTCTTAGCTTCTCCTTCCTTTGTATCGTAACCGGATTCCTGTTTTCTGCTTTTACATCTACTGTAACGTATTTCTTTTGAAAATTTTACTATTTCCTATATTTACATACCTCGAAATGTGTTGTTTCTTTTTCAGATGCAAACGTCCTTTCAAGATATCAGAAGATTTGCTGGCTGCGATCTCAGATTGGAACAAAAATTGAAGGTTTAACATTTAAAATCTATTGTTATTGAGAAAAACATTTATTATGTTTATACGTACTGTAAGTTATTTTAATGCTTTAATGGAAATAATTTTTTAGATTCTAAACTTTATGAAAAGATTTGGTAAAGAATCCCTGTGTTTGACATTTAGAAATTACTTTAAGGTTACAAAAAAGTTTCCAATAAAAGTAAGTTTTGAAATTTATTTTAGTTGTTTTGTTTTTAAAATTCCAGTAATGATAACTGAATTTATCCTTTAAATATTTCAGATGGGAAGTTCTCTATACTCCATATTTTCTGGTCTTTTGAATATGAAGAAAGCTTCGTAGATAAAATTTAACAAACACGTTAAAAAGACCAAAGTGATGACAAGCTCATACAAAAAGACATGGAAAACATACAACGCGGCTGGTTTTATTTCTTTGAATCAATAGTTGACAGAGATGAAAAGGTAACACCGGAAATAAAGAGAATTACACTAGGACGAAGTGGGATGCTAAGCATAGAAAAAAATTTCAGCAGCAAAAATATTCAGATAGTAATTAACGCAAACTTGTCCTGAGTATTTTTTCCACAGTCATGTAAGCAGTAGAGGTTTGAAAAGCTTTAATCACAAATTTATAATTACAAATAATTTTTAAAATTAAGATTGCAAATAAAAATTTGTTAAATGAAATTATTTCAGATCAAAAAATTAATTTTTCGATCACAAATCTTAATTAAACTAATTTTATTTTAACAGTAAGGCAAAGTTTGTGTATTAAATGCATTTATAAATTTGAATTATATAAATTTTATTTTAACAACAGGGCAAAGTTTGTGTATTAATTATTAAATGTTTTCCTAAATTTAAATAAAATTAATTTTATTTTAACAATTAAGCAAAGTTCTTTATTAATTATTAAATGCTATATTATCCGAGAAAATTAAAACGCAATTGTATGAAATAATATAACACCAAAACGAAATTATTTTTGAAAGTTTTTTATTTATACACTAATAGATCTAATTACTTTATTTAAGCTTTTTTATTTTTCTCATTCACTTAATATAAAACATGGCAAATTTCTGCTAGTAAATGGAATAATAAATTCTGCTAATTGTTTACAAAATTTCTTGGTTTATTTACTGATATTTTAAAATGTAACACCACAAAAGTTCATTTTGGAAGTCATCAATAAATTGCCGGTCAAGTATTTTGTAACAAGAAACACAATTACAGTTTAGATAATTTTTTAATACGCGTAAAGTCATAGTTTATAATCGTTGGCATTTTAAAATTTCTTTTATATCAATTTTTTTATGTATCGCTTAATAAAATTATCTGAAAGAATTTGAAATTCGGCGACTTTATTGCAATCAAGATATTGTGAAAAGTTGATTACAAATGATTCTTCTAACACCTGATGCTCTCAAAATAAATTTCATTTTGCATATTTAACGTTTTTCAATTAATGAAGTAGAGAATATATAGATTTTTACAAGATTTTCCAATTTAACTTATCACACTATTCAGAAATGAATGTGAGAGATAAATCGTTTCGTTTACTGATGATATTCCAGTCAATATATTTTCTTAAATGACGAATATTATTTTTTTTAATGCCGAAAATAAAAAATTTTCTTGATCAAATAGCAGTTGATTATTGTCTATAAAGAAACAAAATTGTTGTTTTTGTTAGGATACATTATTGATATTAATAACATTCTATTATATGGATATCATAATAGAATACACTATTATTCAAATTGAATACATATGTAAATGGATAAACATAATATAAATTAAGTACATATATTAATAGATACAAAATTATTTATTACATTTCATACAATCACATCTTGTAAAATATTTGTCGTATATGGGTATTGTATTGTTATTTTATCATTTATTACAAAACATTTACATTCATATGTTTTATTGTTAGACAGTTTTAATGATGCTGCTTTATTACATGCTTGTTTTAAACACGGATAAGTTTTATTACAAACACTATGTATTACATTAATATGTTTTCGTTTGCATACTATTAAAAATTCATATTGTGATGATGATATCCAAAAATCTGCAAGAATCAAAAGTAGAAACTGCAATGACCGAACGATAACTCATCTATTCCATTATCTAAAGTGAATTTTTTATCATGAAATGGAAAAAGTGAAATTTTGTTTTGCAGGTATGTTGTTTCTACATGATTTTTGCTTTTAATCCCATATTGCTGATGTCTTAATAGCTCTGTGTTGTATAAAACTTCTTTATATTTATCATGATTAAATGTTTTTATAACAGATTTTTAATACCTTTAGCGGTTTTTTTATTTTGTTTATCGAAAATATAAGAATACACCTTCGGTTTTAAAGAACAAAATTATCATTAACTAAAATATTATATATAACAGCTGGATCAATATTTTCTAAAACGAGCACGATAAGTTTTAGCATAACCTCTATGACCCTTTTCCTTTAATATAAAAGACATATTTTAAACATTTTCACAGTTGTCAAAATGTTCATTCATTGCATCAAAGGCTTTTTTTTATAAAATTTAAAATCGTTAATATTAATATTAAATTTGTTCGGTGAATAGTTCCCTTTCGTATTTGTCAACGAAACATATGCGTTAGAATAGAATTCTTTCACCTCTGTGAATTGATATTCACATATTTTGATGTTAAACTGGCCTATTTTTCGAAGATTTACCTTTATGTAAAGTTAGGTCTAATCCAAACTTTTGCTTTTTCAACTCCTGATCTTCTATATTTTTAGGTTTAGCTCCCCTTTTTTACCAACAGTCCGTTTCTCGTCCAAATCATAATCACAGTCTAAAATTAATGTTATATTTATTTTAAAGTATTTTATGGTAAAATGAAATACTTGCCTTCTGAAGACATTTTTCTTAGATGTATAAGAGGTTCTTACAAAAGAAGTTCTTAGCTGGTATCTCGGCAGTGTATTGAGCCAGTCTCTTATATCCAGTATTTATACTATCACTGAACACAAAAATAACACACAACACGGATGCGAATTAATATTTTTAGACAGTATCTTGAATAACAGGATTTTCATTAATAATTTTAGAATAACATGATGTCTATTAATATCCTTCAACTGTACTTTGAATAACAGGATATTTAAAAACGAATACCGCATCTCTGTTAAATTTAAGTATAAACACAGCCACTAGAATCAATGAGCATTCACAAACTTCAGCATTCAATAAGTTCTACCAAGATGAGTTGTAAGTATATTTCTTTTATACCTATACTTGATTGATATATTAAAAAAAAATTGTATATTCTAGTGTCTCAGAATTCTCTTGTGGTAAGTATTAAAATAATTTACAATATATAGTTTTTTTGTATATGTCTTTATTTAATTGATATACAGTCGACCACTCCCTATAACGTAGGTTCCTATAACGGAAATTCCTATAACGTAGCAAAAAATTGTAGCAGTATTCGTATAAAGTGATTCGTAAAACGTTGTCGCCGACTCCTGTCGCGACAAGATTGGTCGAATCTGGACCAATAGTGGACGAGCAGCCAAACTACTTTCCGCAGCCAAGCGTCACGCTACCGAGAGTTTAGCCAAGTAAATTGAGTTTGCTATCGTCTGTTCAGCATTATACATAAATTATATATAAATTAGGTACTGTACATATAATTATATATAAATTAGGTACTGTACGTATAATTATATATTAACTTAATTTATTGTAACTTTATTATAATTATATATATAATTTCTGCCGTCTAGCGCTACACTACGGAGATTTTAGGCTAGTAAGTTGAGTTTATTTTCTTCTGTAGAGTATGTAAATTAGATACCGTGAGCCTAATACAGCACTAATTTTATACATTTTTTGTGAAAGAAACATTTCTTATTTAACGGCCATAAAAATTATTTATATTAATGATGTCACCAAAGGTCAAGTTATTTTACTGCGAAAAATTCATTATCAGAAATCGCGGCCGCCGTTTCGTGCACTGTTCTGCGACAAAAACAAGCTTTGAACAATGGCGTAGTCGAACGGTGCAAACTCGGTAAGTAATCCTACAATTTTTTGTTTATAGCATAGATTATAAGGAATATTCCTAAAAAATTATACGTATTTTGGAAATGTTGAGTGGAATTAGTCTAAAATCGGTTAATTTTATAGAAGAAAACCTTTCAAACAGCCTTAGTCCGTAAACTTCACACGTGTCGGGCTGCGATTGGCTCATGTATTTAATGATTCCTACAACGTAAAATTCGAATAACGTGGAACGTATCTAAGCGTTATAGGGGGTCTACTGTATTTTAATATAAATTATATTTCAACACTCAAAAATACTCAAATGGTAGGTGTTAAAGTTATTTTTTATTAAAATTAATACTGTGTATTATAATATAGTTTTTAATATAGGAGTTATCATTGAGTTTGAAGCTTTCACGATTCGAGATGAAAATCTTCCATTCAGCACATTATGTAGACAAATTGGGTATGTAGCAAGACATAAAAACAATGTTGGAAAGATAGATTTTTATAATCAATTTATCACTTTTGATAATTCATCACCACGAGATAAAAAAAATGTATTTAATTTGGGAATTTCTTACACGGGCCGGGCTGTATTTATCTTATAAAAACGTAATTTTGGATATTGTGAATGTCATAGTAAAGTATATAAAATTTTATTTAATTTATATAAAAAGTATGATATTATTTATTACAAGGGAGGACAAATTGAATTTAATTTTATAAACTTAACCAAAGCAATATATAATATAAAAATTTCATCATTTGACATTAAGAAGTTAGGCATACCTAAATCCTCAAAAATCAACATGCCATGCCCATACCATGCTGATTTTGTTGTTCACTGTTGTCTATGTGATGTGTTCTCTTATAAATTTTATATGCATGCACATGGTAAATATATTTTTAATTATTATTATATAAAAATTAGTAAATATAATTACATTTTTAAAAATTTGTATAGGTATATAATTATTGTGTTATTGCTAACAATAAGATAATTTTTTACTAATGAATGAAGATGATACAATATTATAATTATTTATTAAACTTTTTTAAAATTTTGTACAGAGTTGGAGAAGAAAATATTATTTTGTGTTTTAATATTATGTACTTTTTTAATGAAAAAATGAAGTTTATATCTAAATAATCTCATTATTTTTCATTGAAGTACAACATTGATTATAGATTATTGCACTGGGTGTTCTAAGTAAAAATGTTTTTTAACAAATTTCTTTACAAATTCATTGTTATAAAATTTATCTGTTGTACTTAATTTTTTTAAAC